CACTGGAAATTTTCAGCATGGGCATGATGCCCAGTATAACAACAAATAAAACGGATGTGTTTTTTCATTTGCATTGGTCAGGAAGTTTCACATTAAGCAGCTCAATAATTGTACAAGAAATGTCATCTATATGTGGACACATCCCTATAGACTGATACTGGGAAAATTGTCTATCCTGAGGGAAATGCATGCCTGAAAACTAAAGTATCAGAAGAAATACAGTCAGTCGTAATCAGGAAGTTTCACATTAAGCAGCTCAATAGAATGGAAACAGAAATGTTGGCCAGAACTCTTCCACTATGTCTGTCAGTCCCGGAAGGTCAGGATGTTCATCATCAGGCCACAGAATGCCAAGAGTCCATTTCTGATGGCATCAGGATGGTTAGTGTGGCCTCAGCCAGGGAGAGAGCCCCCAAGGGGATACCAGCTTTGTTACCCTTTCCCAGAGGTAGCCAGGTGCTTAGAACAAGGTGGCAATAAATGAGAATGAGGGATTGGTCTTTGTTGGGTACAGTTGATCATTACAGAGGTCTGGAGTGAGTCATAAGGCAAGGACCAACCAATTTCTTCACAAGCCACCTCTTTTGTCTGGTGCTTTTCTCCTCTAGTTTTCTAAATAAAGGCATTTCCACAGTTTCTGTCCCTAAACCTCTTCTTTTCTCTACAAGCGTTCCTGCTGTTCCATCCTTTTCTGGTATGTCGGGTGTCACCATTAAGTAGATTTCCAATTATATAACCACATTCCTGATTTATCCCTGAACTCCAGTTCTGCTTGGTCAATACCTAGGTACCAACTTCATTGTTCCCCAAACTGGCATTCTCGTGTCCCCTCTCAAGTTTGTTTTTCCTCCTGGGTTCTCCAATGATGCAGACAGTGCCTCACATCTAAACATCTGTTCTTTACACTACCTTCCAAATTATCTTTCTGGAAGAGAGCTCTGATCACATCACATGTCTGCTCAAGAACCTTCCATGACTCCCACTGCTTATGGAATAAAGTCGAAACTCCCTGTCTTGGCATCAAGTCCCTCTAGGACCTAACACTAGCTTGCGTTATCATCATATCCCATTGCTGATTCATACTCTTAACATTCCAGCCAAATAGTACCTTTTTACATTTCTTATTAGGTGCCAGGTGCTGTGCATTAGGTACCATCATATTTAATCTTGTAAGGTACTTATCACTAGAAGTCCCATTTTATAGACATGAAAAATAGGCTCAGAGAAGGTAAGTGAGTTGCTCAAGCCCAGACAGCTGGTGAGGTGGGCACTGGAACCCAGGGCTGTCATGGGCTTAGCCACATGCTTTGCTGTCTCACAAGGTGAGGTCCTCCCCACTCCCCAGGGGGGACTTTTGTCTGCTGGCATCCTGTTTGAGACGCTCACTCCTCTACCCTAATTTCTACACATCAAAGCCCTCCCTGATTCTTATGGTTAAGCCCAACTGTCACCATCTCCATCAAACCTTCCCTCACCATAGACAGAAGTGATCTCACCTCCTTAATTCTCATAACCTCTTTGTTGTACCTGTTTCACAGCAGTTGTCATAACTGTCATTCTATTTCAGTCTATTTTGGTGACCGGGGGCATCTTGTCTCTCCCTTGGCTGGCTGCAAGTGCCTTGAGGTCAGGGACCGTCTTACCGCTCGCTCTTGGTATATCATGATCTTGAGGTCATCAGACCCATAAGACAGTCGGTGAATGACTCCCTCTATGTGGAGGTTTGGGTGGAAAATCTTGGAGCAGAGCACCAATGGGGCCTGAAAGCACACCACTCCTGTTTTTTCACTTGCCTCTAAACAATTAGGAAAGTGCAAGCAAAAGGACCCATCAACGACATTCTCAACGTTCCAATTTGACGTAAACAGAAAATGACCTGCAACACAGTGTTGACTCACCAGCGCTGGTAAAATGGAATGTTTCAGTCAGCAAATGGCAGGAAATAAACGCTTGTACCAAGAAGACTACCAAGAGAAACGTGCCTCCTACACTCACAAATATACACACTCCAAGCGAGAGCACACGAGGGTTGCTGGAGGATTTTGCTCCTTTTGCATTTTTTTCCAG